TGGGGCCCCCGGGGCCGAGGGTCCCCTCCAGGGCTCCCAGCCGGCGAGCCACAGCCGTCTCCCGCGTCCAGTGGCCCGATTCGCTTAACATGGGTCACTTTTCTCTCCCCCCACCCCACCCCCAGGCTGGACCTCCCGTGAGCGGAGACACCCACGATTGTGTGGAAACACTGGAGAGAACCGCCTCCCGATGACCCGAGATCAGTAGTCGCCGATTTGTGTTGGCCGATCGTTTTCCCTATAGCAGGGGCGCATGGACCAGAGTGAGCAGTAAATTTCTGTCGCTGGTTACAAACTAGGAAAGAAGCAGGCAACAGGCTGAGACTGCCGCGAAGACCTAAGAATGTCCAGCAGTCAATCTCCTGACTCCGGGGGGACTGAACCGGATGACCTTGCAGGACCCCGGGCCAGCGGCACCCAAACCCCCGATGACCTTGCCGGACCCCGGGCCGACCGCCCTGAGGCCCCAGGGAAAGACTCTGATGAAAGGTGGAGCCAGAAATACCAGCTTCCGTGCAAATACCTGGAGAGCAGCCACAGGTGATACTTACAACCTGGCTGGTTTGTTTTTCCTCCCCCGCCTGTTGTAAAAGGGACTGGAGGGTGTGTAGGTCTTTTTGTTTTGTTTGTAAGCAAACCGAGGAGCAAGTTTAGGGCGGGAACTGGGGAACCTGGAATGAAAGGCTCTGGGAAGCAGGTAAATTACCAAAGAAGTAGATGAGGAGGGATTCGGGAATTTTGCTGAGTGGAGGCTGGGGTGGGAAGGGGAGTGGGAAATGTGTGGCCGCGTTCCCAGGCTCCTCGGCTGGCCTTGCCCCGCCTGTAAGACAGAGAAACCTGTGGACTCAGACTTGCTCCACGCTAAGCGCTTAGAGAGTCGCTTGGCACGTAACAGGCCGTTCAGTAAAAGTTTGGCTGTTGCTGAAATGGAAAGCGTGAGTTTGTTTTGATCTTACAGCGAACAGCAAGACCGGGACAGAGTTTCTGAAGAACTGATGACAGTTGTCCGAGAAATGAAAAAATACTCCCCGTCGTGGAGACACCGTAAACCGAGCACCCTGGATGCCCTCAACTATGCCCTCCGCTGTGTGCACAGCGTACAAGGTAAACGAGCCGGAGAGCGCGCGGTCCCGGGGACGCCCTTGCTCAGGGCCCGCAGCCAGGCCCGGGGAGCTGTCAGTGTGGTTGCCGTCGCAGAAGCCTTCTGAGATTTTTATGGTGTTTTGGGGAGGATGAGCGAGTCCATGAGGGTCTTAGTCTTTCATTCTGGGAGACCCCGATTTGTGCAGTAGCGGGGTGCAGTGTTGTGCGTGTCTCTCGCAGGAGAGTCGAGTTTAGCACAAGCACATTTTGAAGGAGCATCCATTCCTGTGGATATTAAGGGGGAAAATACATTTGGCTAAATACCGGTTTCACACTTTCCCTGCCTCACACACAACTTTTAAAACCCACTCCTGACAGTACCAGGAGTTTACCAAACTACGAAGGCGCA